CATTGGCCAAGTCATAATTCCACCTATAATTATTTAAAAGAGCAACCAATAAAGGAGGCTTAAGTTTGAAGGTGGGATCTTATACATAACTCCTCATATTATAACAGGAACATAACTAAAATGAGCCACAAAATAGTTCCTATTTGAGTATTAAGAAAGACAACATTCAACCAATAATCTTGTTCTATATTCTCTGAAAAGATCATTTCACCCAAACATCAATTAAACAAACACAACCTAATACTTGAATTCAACTCTTTTTCTTTCTCAAATGTCTCTCTTTTCTTTCTCTATATTTCTACCTCTTTTCTCTTCCTCTTTCCTCAGTCATTTTTCTGATTACTGTCTCTTTTCTCTATCATGCAGCCTCTTCGTCGTAAGGCTCCTCTTTTCAACTCAGAAATAGGGGCAATGAAGGGTCGCAAGAACAGTAACCTTTCTATTTTTGTAGTGGTTTTTTCCATTTTCCTCTTTGGGATATTCATGTACAACGAAGATGTTAAATCAATAGCTGAATTCCCATTCTCAAGGCCTAAAGTTCAAGAAACCCATCAAGAAAATTCCAAAAAAGGTTGAGTCTTTACATAAGGATACAGAGAAAGTGGTTGTTGTAGAAGAAGACAGTACTGTTGTTGAAGATACCAAGAAAGATGTTGTGGAAGAAACTGTTGATGATACCAAGAAAGATGTTGGGGAAGAAACTGTTACTAAAAGTTCAAGAACTAAACTTGAGAAAAGGGATGATGGTGATGAAGATTCTGATGAACATGTTGAGGTGAAAAAGATTGTGATGACAGAGAAAGAAGAGAAGATTGAATTGTTGGAAGAAGAGGAAGAAGATGAAGAAGAGTTGAGTTGCCACCAAAAGATTGTGATTTGTTCAATGGTGAATGGGTTTTGGATAACATGACACATCCTTTGTATAAAGAAGAAGAATGTGAGTTTCTTACTTCTCAAGTTACATGTATGAGGAATGGAAGACGTGATTCTTTGTATCAGAACTGGAAATGGCAACCTAGAGATTGTTCTATGCCAAAGTATGTAATTTCGTTTTTGAATTTTTTTTATTTCTTTTATGTTGATGAAAATATCCTTAATGATTGTGTTTTTGTGTACTTATTTAAGGTTCAAGCCAAGATTGTTGTTTAAGAAGATAAGAGGGAAAAGAGTAATGTTTGTTGGAGATTCTCTGAATAGGAACCAGTGGGGAATCAATGGTTTGTATGGTTCAGTCTGTGGTTCCTTCAGATAAGAAGACTTGGTACAAGACTGGTTCTCTTGCAATCTTGAAAATTGAGGTTTGTTGTTTTCCTTTTTCATTTGGGTGATTAATTATAACCACATCATACTTAGAATGTTAGAGTACTATTATAATCGTCTTTATCGAGGGTCCGAACCGTCGGGCATATCTGGTTTACCTGCATTTTTTCGGTGGGGGTGTGTCAAGATTGTTGGCTTTATCTAACCCTCTAATATGCTCACCCTCGCGACTGTCTTGTTTAGTTTTGTAGGAGCTTTTGCAGATGTGGACATTAATAAGAATTTTTGCAGTTTTTAGTCTTTAGAGATGTAAAACCCGCATATCCGCTCCGCTCTCATTTATTGCGGAGCACACCAATGTCTTAGACTCGCGCCCTCAACTATGTTTGTCTTGTCCCGTCTCGTTTTTTCTACGAGTTTTGACGGGGCGGACATTCTCATTTGTCACCCTAGCTAGAATGGTGTGGACCACTCTAAATTTGAGGACAAAATGGAATTGTTTCAAAACCAAGTTACCTTTTTATATTGGCTTTAGTTATAGCAAGATCTGGCTTCATTAGATTGAGACAATATATTGGTTGTTCAGAAAGGACATGTTGTGTCGGGAATAACATGGATTTATTTTATTGAATGTTGCTTAAAATGCACTCTTTGTTGTTTATGTAGGAGCCAGAGAATATAATTACTACGGTGGAATTCTACTGGTCCCCATTTCTTGTAGAATCAAACTCAGATGATCCAAATATGCATAGCATATTGAACCGTATAATAATGCCTGAATCAATTGAAAAGCATGGGGTGAATTGGAAGAATGCTGACTACCTTATCTTTAATACCTACATATGGTGGATGAACACTTTCAATATGAAAGTCTCGTAAGCACTAGACCATATACTGTATCCCTTTTTCTTTTTACTTCATTCAATGTTTTTGTGAGTTTGAAACAAGTTGGTGAAACTTATATGGATTTGTGTGTGATGCATTAGACGAGGATCGTTCGATGAAGGGGCCACGGAATATGATGAAGTCCCTAGGCCAGAAGCATATGAGAGAGTGATGAGGACATGGTCAAAATGGGTGGATGAACATATTGACCCAAATAGAACCAAAGTTTTCTTCACTGGCACGTCACCTCTTCATATCAAGTAATGATTCTATCTCATTTTCATGCTTTCTAATCTTTGATAAGTACTTTACCTTTAAGCTTTAACCATTTGATTTTATAGGAGTGAGGATTGGAACAACCCTGATGGTATAAAGTGTGCTAAAGAAATAACTCCAGTTCTGAATATGTCGACACCGTTGAATGTGGGCACAGATCGCCGTCTTTTTGTGATTGCCAACAATGTGACAAAATCAATGAAGGTTCCAGTGTACTTTATAAACATCACAACCTTATCAGAGTATAGAAAAGATGCACATACTTCTGTTTATACGATACGTCAAGGAAAGATGCTTACACCAGAACAACAAGCTGACCCAACTACTTATGCAGATTGTATTCATTGGTGTTTACCAGGATTACCCGACATTTGGAATGAGTTCCTTTACACGCAAATCATCTCTCAATCTTGACGAGTAACGTACAGATATATCTTCATACACAATTATACTTTTTTCTTTTTTACTTAATTGTTATTATCTCTCCTATTACTTAAGAAGAAAGCTTGTCCCTTTTTTTTCAGTTGCACGCCTCAACTTTTGTTGTTTCTGTCAGTTTTTGTAATTTTTGAGCAACTTTTTATTAGGTTTTTAGGAGTTGGGCAATTTTTTTGTTACCCTTTTACTTCCTCTTGTTTATTTGTTGAAGCCAATTTAGCACACCAAGAACATAAATTGTACAATGAATCCTTGTTCCTTGAATGAAGAAAAATAAAGCTCGAAGGTTTTGTTTAGTTAACTTTCTTAGTTTCATTACCTCAAATTTAAATAACTTCAATGCTATTACACAACCTGGTAGATATATGTTGCTAGCCATTTAGTGAAAGACTATATGTTTGCCTTTAAATGTCTTTTTTGAACAAATTCATAAATAACAAATAACAACAATAAATAACTAAGTCTTATCCCACTACATGAGGTCGGCTACATGGATCAACTTTTACCATAATGTTCTATCGAGAATCATGTTTCTATCTAAATCATTAATCTCGAAATCATTTTGAATAATTTCTCTTATAGCCTTTATGGGTCTTCTTCTTTCTAGAATTGTTTGTCTTCTTCCCTTCTGATCTATTCTGTTTACTACAAAATTTACAAGTCTTCTCTCTATATGCTCAAACCATCTAAATCTATTTTTCACCATCTTCTCTACTATAAGCACTACCCGACACTCTCTCTAATAATTTCATTTCTAATTTTATTATGTCGAGTCTTACCACACATCCACTGCAACATCCTCATTTCTGCTACACTGACTTTATTCTCGTGTTGATTCTTAATCGTTCAACATTTTGTCTCATACGAAATCAGAGATTACCACATTTCGATAAAACTTTCCTTTCAGGTTGAGCGGTATCTTTGCATCTCATAAAATACCTTATACCTTTCTTTATTTCAACCATCCAACTTGAATTCAATGGTTCACATCTCCTTCTATTTCTCCATCATTTTGTATTACGGATCCAAGATATTTAAACCGTGTGACTTGAGGGATAATATGGTCTCCAACTTTAACCTATAAATTAGAAACACTTCTTCTTTTGTTGAACTTACATTCCACATACTTCGTCTTACTTCTTCTTAGGCGAAAACCATGTGTTTCTAAAACTCGTCTCCAAGTTTTCAACCTCTCATTTATGTCCTCCTTCGACTCTCTAAGAAGGACTATATCATTTACAAAAAACATGCATTTCGGTGCTACCTCTTGAATGTGTTCCGTGAGTACATCCAAAATTAAGGTAAAAGATAGGGGCTTAGGGTTAACCTTGATGCAAATCAATTATAATGGAAAAATTGTCTGTCTCTCCACCTTGAGTTCGAATAGTAGTCAATACCCCTCCATACATATCTTGGATTGCTCGAATATATGTAATCATAACGTATTTCTTCTCTAGAACTTTCCACAAAATCTCTATAGGCACTCTATCGCACGCCTTCTCCAAGTCAATAAAAAATTAAGTGTAAGTCTTGTTGGTTCATCCGATATTGCCCCATCGCACGCTGTAATAGATAAACTGTTTCCATGATCGACATTACGGACATAAAACCAAATTGATTCTCAGTGGCATGAGTCTCTTTTCTTAATCTTCGTTCAGTCACTCTTTTCCATAACTCCATGGTATGACTCATTAGCTTAATTCCCCCATAATTTGGATAATTTTGCATATCCCCCTTGTTCTTATAGATTGAATTAAAGTGATTTTTCTCCATTCAATCGGCATGTGTTTTGACATCATAATTTTATTTAAAAGTTTGGTGAGCCACTCAATACCTTTATCTCCGAGAATTTTCACTCTTCGATAGATATGTTGTTTGACTCAATCGCCTTACTGCTACTCATTCTTTTCAATGTTTCATTTACCTCCTGTTTCTGAATTTGACGAAAGTAATTATAGTTCTGATCCTCTTATCTAATGTCGAATTTGTTAGAGTCAAGTGATATATCATATCCTTCATTAAATAAGTTGTAGAAATAAGTCTTCCACATATCCTTTATATTTTTTTCCTAAACTAAGATTTTGCCTTCTTCATCCTTAACACACTTCACTTGATTCAAATTTATAGTCTTTCTTTCTCTTCCTTTAGCCTATATTTAAATTTTTCTCCCTCCTTGATTCCTAGAGATTGGTATGATTCGTCAAAAGTTTGGATTCTTGCTTCACTCACCGCCTTTTTAGTCTCATTCTTAGTTTTCTTGTACTTTTCCCAAGCTTTGGGATTTTTACACCTAGACCACTCTTTAAAAATCTTTTTTTTACTTTGACTTTACTCTGGACACTTTCATTCCACCATCATGACTCTTTACCCCTAGGTCCCAAACCTCTTGATTCATGCAATGTCTCTTTAGTCACTTTTCTAATCTCTTAGGTCATCTTGTTCTCCATATCATTTGCTCTTCTTCATGATTGTCCAAACTCTCCCTCCAAGGGAAAATTCCTTGTTTGTCACCCTTCAAATGCCACCATTTGATTCGTGGCGCTACAATAAGACTTCTTCTCTTTACTCTCCCTTAAATTCTTACATCCATAACCCAAACTCTATGTTGGATAGTCAAGCTCTCAGAATAACTTTACAGTCTAAACAAATCTTTCTCTTAGACTTTCTGATAAGAAAGAAATCTATCTGAGAACATGGCACCCTACTTTTATATGTGATAAGATGTTCATCCTTTTCCTAAACCATGTATTTGTTATAGTAAGATTCAAAGCCGACGAAAACTCCAAAATAGATTTACCCTCTGCATTCACCTCCCCTATGCCAAACCCTCATGCACACTATTAAAACCTCTTGCCCTGATACCTACATGTTCATTGAGATCCCCTCTTAAGAAAAGCTTCTCTCCTTGAGGTATATCCTGACATAAACCTTCTAAATCCTCCCAAAATTGTACCTTAAGGTGTTCTGCTAACCCAGTCTGAGGTGCGTACGCACTAATAACATTAAAGGTGTCTTGTTCCACTACCAATTTCAAGACTACGATTCAATATCCTACTTTTTTTACATCCACAATATCCTTCTTCCACTCCTTATCCACAATAATTTCCACCCCATTTCTTTATCTAATTCCCACTACATAAAATCGATCTTCCTCCTGACCATAACATCCATTATTTCCATAGATTTTTCAATAAGTGTGTCTATATTCCATGATTCAAAGTGAATCCTCCTCTCATGAACCAATTTTTTTACCCACACTCGTTCACGAAAATTTGAAAACCCTCGCTTATTTATCACTACATTCGGACAGCGATGCAGCAGCCCTTACCCTTGACATTGTACTCGAGGCATACAGCGTGATGCTTACGGACAACGACCTAGCATTCACATTATTTCGTAATTAATGTATGTCATAGAGACTCGACAAAATTTTACATTGGCTGTCGAAAGCCTAACACAACCCTCTCATACAAAAAAAATAAAACTACAAATATTTTAGATACTAATCATGATTAAAAGTAATAAACACTTTATACATAATACGAAACCATATAATAAATACTATGATACTCGAACTTACACACTTGCAAACTTGTTTGGTTAAAAAACCATACTAATCATAAATAAACTTATGCGCTCCTATTCAATTATCATCCCCATTACTATAGTCAACATAAGATTACATCGGTATGTATACACATTTAACCATATGTCTCCAGGGACATCTCTCAAATCTCAATACTGATTTTTGCTTGAGAAACAAGGAAGTAGGACAGGGCATGAATCATCAGTAAAAATGTTGTGCCAGTCAGCAACGAGGGCTACTGTACATGAATATTTGTAAAGTTGGCCATTTTTAGCTGAACTACAATCATGTCAAACACCTATCTATCTCATGAATAACATTGATATGAGTTCTTGGTAAAGAGAGGCGCAACAAGGGAATTGAAGAGGATGACATGCGCTTAGGTTTGACTCTATCAATAGCTGTTCTGATAAAAGATGATGCGGGTACATTATACCACTGAAGATACCAAGAAAGAAGAATGGAGCGCTTATCCTGCGATTCCCCTTCAGGCCATTTTCCCAATTTCAAATATTTGTGAAAATCATGCTTCAATTCCTGAGAACTATTTAGAAGTTCTTCCACCTTCTTCCTAAGAGAACCAACAAACGTTGATTGTACGATTCCTCCTTTTGGAGTGGATAGTATTCCAGTCATCAATGCGTCAATATAAGTTAGCGCAAGCTGCAAGAATATATACAACTAGCATCAAGTCAACCATTTTAATAACGGGTCAAATGCATGCAGTTTAATAGTATTCCAGTTTGTAATTTTTCTTTTGTATTCTTTCCCCAAAATGGTTTAGCCTGGACTTGAACCCTCACACAGGGTAACTAATGCTAAAATAACCACTGCACTAACAAATTGTTTGTGCATCAAATGTCTACAATAGTTAATATGCATTCCTGGTGTCATGGCATCCCCAATAAAAGCAACCAAACTCCGCCACTAGCATTTTCAAAATTTGTTGCATTGTGTTAATATCTTACTTATATCTTACCGGATACATGTCCGCATCATACCATGCTTTATATGACCACCCCAAATCATTACCACGGTTAAACAAATCTTACCAAAACATCAATGCTCACCACACCCTCTGGCAGGTGCTTAAAGAGTGAATAAGTAAGATTGAGTTGATTTGAATATAACAAAAGATTTACAAAATGTGCATGCCCACCCTCTTACCACAACTGATGTTCAATTGATATTTATATTTTATGGTATCCATGGAGTGTTTGCCACAGCCTCAACCATCACTTAAGTCTTAATCATAGAAACTTATTCAACAGATCATAAAAACACACCGTGACCAAATCAGAGGTGAACAGTAATGGTAAATAAACAGTAGAAAGTAAAAAACAGTTTAGAGACAGATTACTACACAAAAGGAAAGAGTTATTATAAAGAA